TCTTATTTACTAGTACTTTCAAATTTTACTTATTATCGTTAATAATTATCGAAAAATGTTTATTATACAAAATATATATGTATATCAGAAATAAATAAGATAAATCAATGTCGGTATATAAAGATAATGAAAATACAACGAAGTAAGGAAATATATTTCATAGGAGGTTTGTGATGTTCGAAAAATAATATTTGATTGCTTTTTTCTTTGTTTTTCGGGAGGGGGGGGGGAAATATATTAATATCAGTATTAAGATAAGCCAAATAAATAAATAAACAAATACTTTTAATCTAAGTTTTATCGGTTATTTCGTATTAATGATCATTCGAATATATATCTGTATATTTATATAAAAGTCAAATAAATAGATATAACTTTTATAATAAGATAAGAATAAAATAGAAAAGAATATATATATATATATATCTTTTATCGATTGAAAAATAAGTAGGATAATGAAATAATACGAAACTATTTTTCTTTCTTTATTACTAGTTTCAAAGAAGAAAAAAAAGAAATAATAAGCATTCGTGGAATAAAGCGTAGGCAGGTAAAACCACGTACACGCGTTTACGCGTAGGTGTGTATCGATAGTACAGCAAATGAGGAACAGAAATAGTAATAGATATATAGTGAAATAGAAAGAGAGAGAATTAAAGTTAAAGTAGTAACGAAATACAGTAAATCGATGTACGGATGCAAGACCGGATGACGTGCGTGCAAGAAACACTTACGTTACGGAAAGTCCAACTCCGTAGCTCGAGATTTTCTCTTCGTTCTATGACACGAGTATTATTCCTTCCTTTTACAATTTGTATTACTTCAAATACGAATACGATGATTAATTATTACCCACATGTATATATATATATATTACACTCACGAGAGAGAAAATATTCATTCGCGATATTATTCAATCCCAAAATGATTTGGTTATTTTCTAATTAATACAAAAAAATAACCCGTATCCTATTGAAAACAAAAAAGAAATAAAAGAAAAAAGAAAGAAACAAAAAAAAAAATTAGATGAATCATCCTATGGGATAACAAGACAAAATAAATGAATCATCCCATGGGATGGACAAATATATATTACTGGAATTATCATCAAAAAAATAATTTCAACTGTCTCGAGTAAATCAGTATTATTAATTGTTTGTTTATACTTTAATATTAATTAGTATATAATATTGGTTAAAAATAGTTTATTTATATTAATTTGAAAAAAAAAAGTATATAAATGAAGATTTATTTCTCTTGCAATGGCATATT